CCTATTTGACATACGCTGATGTAAAAAATTCCACTCACTTGATTTTTTTCCTCTCGATAAAAGAAAATTCTGCGCTTAATTTGGCTCATTGTTGTTATCAATAAATATTTGTTTATGTTATATTTTAAATTGGGAATATCAATTAGAGGTAAACACACTAAATACTTAATCCAAAAGAAGGATAAAGTATTTTTCAATGTTTACTTCTGTATAGTTTTCATCTTTGTTTTCTTAATTTCAATTTTAAACTTAAAAATGCCACTTAGTGCTGAGGATGTCGCGCGTGGCATGGACATCAGGTATGCCATCGGAGTTCCCTTCGAGCATGTCCATCACTTCCTGATACACTCCACGATCTTGAAAGGACTCTTTGTGAAGAATTGACTAACCTACAGCAAAGAAACATATTTTCAGAATGGTAGAAAGGATGCCTGCAGTGTTCGGGATGTAATTAAGACAAGAGGATAATACGCGGTATTGAAATTTTAATTAAAACTCTAAAACAAATTAAACAAAATTTAAATTAAAATAAGCAAAAACAAAATTTTTTACATTTTTTTACTTTTTTAGACAAAGAGTCAATTATTAAATGTTAAAAAATGTGAAACTTTGACTAATTTATAAAAATATATACAAATCAAGTTATATTACAAGTGGGTGGAATTTTATGCCTGTCAGTGTACTTATCAACTTGAAATGATTTTTTTTAAGCAAAATAAATTTAGTATTTTTATAAATAATATTGTATTGACATTAGTTCACAGTACAATTAATACACAAATTTTTAATTTTTCCTTTTGGATGCTTCCCGTTTCAGTGATTCAGCTCAAAACTGTAGCTACCTGCATAGTTATTAAGGTAAAAGCAAAAAAACTTGAGATACGTAAAAACTAGCAATAGGCTTTAACATGTTTTCAATAATTATAGAATGTAATAATAAGTGAAAATTTAGAGAGTGTGCAACTATACAAATAAGAATAAATAAATACATAAAGCATATAATGCAGGTTAACATATGTAAATATAAATAAACCATAATTACTGGTAAACCATAACCGTAAAATATATAAACTATATTAAATAAGTTAATATGTAAATAAGTTAGTGCAATAGATATCGAATAATTTTTTATCAAAGATCGAATAATTTTTTATCAAAGATATAGCCTTTTATGCTACCTTGTATTGTAAAGGAATGATCCAAAGATAATTTTTCACGTAGAATCTGCTACTGCTAAAGAATTTTAATAAATTGGCATGTTAAGCCAACCTGGTGGTAAACTTTTTTTTTATTTGCCCTATTTTGTCACAAATTTTGAAAGCCCTTTCCATTACAAAAAAAATATATATATATCAGAAACATTCTTCGATTTGTTTTGGAGATAATGAAGAACTCGAAAATTTTGATTTATGCAATTGCTGTAACTGGTTATAAAAGGAGAAAATTAATAATTTAATTGAATAAAATATGAAAATTAACTTGTGATGGGTTTCATAAGCTTAACTTTAAACAACAATCAGGATAAATTAAAATTATCTAGTTTTGAAGAAAAATTTCAATAAATTTATAGCAAACCAATGAATTTTGGCAGTGCTGGGTCCCCTGAAAGGCCATCTACATTATAATTCCGCGTCAAGAATAAAAAGACTATGAGCAAAAATAATAATAACAAGGAAAAAACATGTAGAAATCGTTGAATCGATTTTTAAACTTTCACAGATCAAAATGTTTCTTTAAAATGTTATAGCCGCATTTGTTCTATATATGAAATAACTTAGAGTTTATAGAAAAATAAGATATCGTCAATTTCTATTTAAAAAATTTCCACTTTTCAACTATCAGCTTTTCCTTAATTGTTCTACCATTTCACTATGTCCTTATGATTGTTCTTGGCTTCAATTTAACCGACTGACTTTTTGTCATCTTTATTTTTACCTGCCAAATTCAAAATTGTTTCCAACTTTTAACGGTTGGTGTTGCAAGAACATCATTGATAGTAAAGATTAACCCAAAAAAGTCTTTGACTAAGCTTCACACGTTGTAGTAACTCTAGATGCACTGCGATCAGACTTATATTATTATATATTTATGCAAGGGTAAATAATGTATTTCCTTCATCCTTGCAGGTAGAATTGTGTACACCTAGTAACTATCAGCGTGGGTGTTAAATAAAAATAATTAAATAGTCTAAAATTCAAGTCCTAAATTGTACCCCACAGAAAAATTAACGCATCTAAAAACCTCGATGAACTTAGCCACAACTACGATTCTGTACACTTTTTACCACCTGAATTCATTAAATAAGTGTTATTGTTGGCTTCAAATCAATATGATGAAGAGTAAATTGTATGTAATCGTAGTCTTTTGTAAATTAATATCAGTATAACTTCTTGAATAGTTGTTGAACTATAGTTCATTCTCAAACCTAACCTTATGATGATGTGCTGTTGGTTTTTAATAATAATCACAAGAAGTAATTCACCTATTTCAAAGCAGGAAGACAAAAGTGCAAGTAACCAAGGAAAATCAGGGTCTTCAAAAAGATAGGGTCTAACTTGCCAAAGAGGAAACAAGCTGAATCAGCCAAAAATAGGCAGAAACATCATTTCCTGTTTAGTGACTGGAATTTTTAGTAACTGGGAAAAGGACCAGTTGTTGGAGTCCATTGACTGGTGTAAATGTACCATATGTTGTAGCAGAAGGGCCTCAGCAGCTGGCAGCCACGTCGTTGAGAGTGCGATGTACAAAGGTGCTGCATGCTCATTGATGGAAGGCCTTCCATTGATGAAGCAAATAGAGAAAACTTCAGTAGACAGTCGGCACACTGTATGTGACAGTACAGTACTATTTGGAAACAACATAACCTTGGGAAAATTTGAGAAGTTGCACCTAGAAAAGATGCCAGACGATTTTGTATCACATGGATTTTATGGTTCTTTCTGTTGGAATTTAAGGAAGATAATTTAGTTGATTTGGTGCTCGTTAACAGTTGCTTCCATGCTGACTGATATGCCTTCTGAAGACCATGGGTCTGAATTCCATCTGTGACAAATTTTGTGTTTAAAAATCAACATATATTATTGTAATACATATTAGAATATCATCATCATAAGGGTTTATTAGCTCTAATTATAATTGCTGTTAAAGGTTACTACTGCGAAGGTGCAGCTGATTAAACATAGTTGTTGCAAAGGTCAAATATAATTATTTTTTATTGACAAGAAAGGTACATGAAAGTATATCCAATCTTACTCCCTGAAGGAAATAAATATTATTAAAGATAGTCAGAAAAGGGATAAATTTTACGTTTAAAAATATTTAGTGTGCCTATGGACAGACAACTCGGTTCACAGTTTGTACAAGCATTTATAAATGCTTTAACTCAAGCATTTTATGCTCAATGTGGCACAGATAATTGAAAGGTGCCATTCCTTAGCACCACAAAAGAATAATCTTGATACCTGCAGTCTTTCAAATAAGTAATTTGTTTTGAACGCGTTTTAATTACCTTAGATTAGAACGTCCAACTACCTATTGGGTGTTGTGGAAGAGGGTTCAAACCACATTACAATATACATTTTACATATTATTTCTAATATTCCATGGGCTGTCGGGATTCGAACCCAGAACCTCTAGTGTGGCAAATAAGAGTCACGATTCCTTACCACTCGACCTCTCGTCCTATTCATAATTGTTTGATTATTGTCAATACTAAGGAAACTCTTTAGCACAAATACTTTGTAGAAATATAGTTTTCAATTATTAAAAATAAAGTCATCTTATAGAAAGATAAATAATCAGTACTAACCCTTAATAATCTGATTGCAATGTGTTGTTAACTAGTTTAAATTATTTTTCATACCTATAAAATCTACTGCATACTGGTAATCTTTCATCTTAGCAAACATTAATAATAGTTTTTTAAAGTTATTTTTTCTTACTTTTATTAATTTAGCTTGTATTGTCCATCCTGGACTTGTGCAATTCAATCTTGTATTTTATAATAAATACTGCAATTCACTGAAATGAACAATTTGACAAGAAAAAGTCTTATGTTGGTAAAACAACTAAATAACTTCAACTCCACAAATATTTTATTTAAATTTTTAGAACCAATTTAGAACATTATTTTATTGTTTGTTAATTATAATTGTTACAATGATTTTTTTTGTGTGTCAAGTATGCAATCATTAATTTTCAAATTTGGTAAATTTGTAGTAATGAGGTAAATTCAAAAATGGAAAGTAGAAATTAGTTACATTTAAGCAAACAAGGGGTATTAAAGAGGAAATTTAAAATAGGTAAAATTATATTACAGTGTCACTCAAATGTAGAAAACATAAGTCTATGTCAATTTATTTGTTCAAAACTTTTTTTTTATTTCATAATCGTTTTCATCCCTATAAATGATTTTTATTATAAATTAATTGCCAAGCATATGTTAGCATATAAACAGAAAGACAAATGATTGCATTACATTCAATGATTACGGGCAACATCTTCCATCTGAACTTGTGGAAAAATTTCCAAAGAATCAAGAGTCAATAAAAATGATCCTTAGTCTTTCAGGGGGTAAAAAAATATGTTTGTTACCTGAACAAAAACATTAACAAATCTTTTTCCTTTCCGTTTCACTCAAAGAAAATATTATTATCCAAATATCACACAGTATCCCTTAGAGAGATGTATTTAATTGACACATAAATTCAATATTACAGGCAGTTGAGCACTATCTTCTAAAAATAATATAATAAAAGAGAGAGAAGAAATAAAGAAATTGGTAACACAATTTATAAAATAATGGTCACATACAACTGTTTATTGAGACATAATATGTAGATTGATCATTACATTTGGCTTTCCAGTAAAAAGAAAAATATTCAATTAAAAAAGTGCCATTTCGAACTCAAAAAACAAAGATGTGTTTAAATTATTTTAATTTTTATATGTATACTTTTTGTCACACTAAAAGGAAATACTTAAATTTTAAAAGAAAGCTGAAAATTAAGAAGCAAAGCGATTCTACGGCTTACTAAGAGTACGACGCAAGACTTACTTATGGGATTTGCTTTGAGTATTGATCATACCTTTTTAAAAATAACGAATTCCTTAACATAATAGTGAGAAAAAATGAAAACAAATTGTCATAAAATATACTAAAACCAAAATATTAGTATTAACATAGTAATTCTGTAACAAACCTAGGGTTAAAAAATGTGGTCACCAATTAAAAAAGTATACCAAGATGAGCTTGGAAAAAAAAACATTGTTTTTTTTTCTTGTTCTTTTCTTTTTTAATATATTTATAATCGTTAATTATAATATGCCTAAACTCTACCCCCATAACATGCTTAACATTTCATGAAAGTAATAAAAAAATATTAAACAAAATTTTATAAATTTTTTCTTTGCTTTTAAGCTAGTTTTAAAAATATGTTTTTAATTTTTTATTTCATAAAAAATGGAAAAAAAAATTTAAACTAGATAACATAAAAACATTAAAAAATGCAAGTTAACAGTAACTTCTTGCGCCAGCCAACTTAAATTAAACAAACAAAAAATAATAATAAAAAAGAACTGGAAATAAAATTTCATGGTGCTTAGAAGATAAAAATTAATCTACAACTGTATTCTACAAAGAAGAAAATGTAAATATATCAAAACGGATAAAATGGTTCAAAATGTTAACGAGAACCAAAGCCAGTAACCAATTTGTTTAACAATAAGGCAGCAATAACGATAACAGTTGCTTTTGAAAAAGGGCATGAAAACCTGATTTTTTTTTACTTTTAATTTTTTCATTTTTTTTTTAGTTGTTTCGCCCCCCTAAAATTGATGTGATACTCCAGAACTAAGGGGGTGGGTCAACACTGAGACATAAAAAGGTGTTTTCTTGCTCAAGGAGGGGGAATGTTCGCAATACTTGTAGCTCTAATCACAAAAGTTTAAAGTTCATTTACAATAAACAATATATCAAGACTCAAAAGTAAAATATAATTTTGTACATCTACGAATAAATAGGTTTTTAATTTTTTTTTCTTTTATATAAACCATATTATCTTTTTTTTTTTTTAAGATTACAGTTACAAATAAGTTCAGAAGCCAAACGCTCGGTCCACAGGGTAATGTACACAGCTGCTGAACAAAGAAACGTTGTACAAATACTATTGTAGGTATCCTTTTTTTCCTCATCTTCTCTCATATAATTTAATTTTTTTTTTTTTTTTTTGACAAATTCATATTTAGATCGAAAGAAAACTGAATGCATTACCAAAAAACAAAAATCTGAATTTCTCAAAATTTCAACTGGAAATTAGATGACTAAAAAAATATATAACAAAAACAAAACAAACAAGTTTTTGTCGTCTTCGCTAAGTCCCTGACTTGCTCATTTAAATATTTATATATTTATAAGCATATGTATAATTCAATTATACATATGGTTGATAAATATATACATATTGTTATTGAACGTTCACAGATTTAACACACAAAAAGTTAAGTCACAGCCTAACTCCAGCTGCCGTAAGAGTCCTGGTACCACTGTTGGTCTCCTGTAGAGCTATAGGCACCTCCGTTCATTCCGTATGTATTTCCTAGAGGCTGTTGTGCAAGAGGTTGGTTTCCCCAGCTGCTCTGATAGCGACGCTTAGTTTCCCCCTGGTTCTGGTTGCCCCCATCCAATTTACGCTTACCTACAAAATCGGATTTGTATATTTGTACAAATAAAACACTAGTGAAATTTTAATAAGAATTTTAATTATGTATAAAAAAATGAGAATAATGTAATTATAAAAAAAGATGACTTAAAGGAAGAGAATATGTTAATGAAATTAGCAAAAGAAGAAAAATTAATGTCTAAGCAATAAGATAGTTTAAGTTTCTGGCTGAGAGTCTTCAAAAACTTGGCGATAGGATGAGCATGACCTACAACATGGAGAGGAAACTAATGAACTAAGACTAATACAAACTTACGAGCTAGCAAAGATCTAAAATCCGGATTCGGAAGAACAGCTACAGAAGGAAAAGGGCATGGGGGATGGAATAGAGGATCGTGTGACGGATGTAGTTAAGTACGAGAAATTTGGAAATCACCTGGTAAACTTTGCTTGGCGCGTTGAGAGCCACGGGCGGGCTGATGGTTGTGGGGGTGGCCACGATGAGGTGCGCCTTGAGTTCCCGCCCCCCGCTGTGGTTGCTGAACTCTGCTGGTGTTGCTGCTGACCCCCAGCGCCCCCACCCCACGACCCTGGGGCCCACCTGCTCGCCCACGACCCACTGTTCCACGCCCACGCCCACCCTACAACATCAACCGTCATGTTAGTTATACAAAAAAAAGAACAAAAATATCAAATTTTGAATACAATTTTTGACCTGTCAAGGAGCAGCAATAATTTTTTTTTATCTAAATGGTAAACTTACAATTTTGATTCTGTAAATTTTGTGTTAATGTTGAAGCGTGCTAATTTAGAAATATAACCACATTACTTTTTTTTATTTAAATCCATGAAAAGTAATTTTGTTGATGTCAACAACCTGACAAAGGAAACAAACAGGGTAAAATAACCCAATTTCTGTTCAGCTCTCACATTGCTAATTATGCTTTCTGTTTGTAAATTAAACCAAGTAGACTGTTCTTCGTGAAAATTCTCATTTCTTCTAAGCAACCTCTATGTAGCATTAGCTAGTCAGTACATACATGTACGTACTTCTTATTTTAACTTTAAAAATAACAGTACTCGTTTTCATTATCGCAAATAATCTCTTTTTCTAATTACAATACTGATCCTTTTTTTCATTTCTTCTTCTCTTCTTCCATGTTACAACATAAATTCTAGACAATCTCTTCAACCTAAACCTATCTACCTCTGGATTAAAATATCAATTCTAAAATAATGCTAACAGTCAAACTCCTTTAGCTTAAAACTAAAAAAGTTCCGAATGACTAAAATTCTATATAAAAAAATGATGTGAAACATTCTAAAAATGAACTATGAAGAGATTAATGCCAAAATAATTGTAACATCGAAGAGGATACAATTAAACTAAGGGACAGAAAACTTTTAATTTTCTTTTCGTCACTGTCTAATAAGTGAAATTGATCAACAAAATCTTAAAATATATTTGACTAACATTCTAACTGAACGGTAGGCAATTGTAATTGTAATTGAAATTGAAAATTGAATGTTTTCTAGCAAAAGTAAACTGTTGAGCGTAATACTCAATAAAAGACTCATCCATAATCAACCTAAACATTTACATCGCCTACTAGAGCATGTTGCCTACTCTCAAGATTTTATCCGAAAAGGCGAGGTAGATTGTAATAAGAAAATGTTTATTGGTTACTTTACATAAACAGATTCTTTTTATTTATATAAAATAATTCTCATGAGTTGCAGCATGAAAATTTTATGATTATCTCAAAAAAAATCCCATACATTACAATGTTGGTTGTGAATACAATGTTTTTCCCAACTTTTTAATGGAAACTTGGTCAAAACGATAATGTAAATTTAGGACAGAAAAAATATCAGGGAAAATGAAAATTTTTTGCGAAGAATAAACTATATGAACCCTTTTTACAATGTATTAAATAAATTTTGATTTAACATATCAAGAAATTTTGTTTTTACATCTTTTATTATGTATACAACCAAAAAGCACCATGTTAAATTTGGACCACTTTTTAATTTTACAGGGTGAACCAAAACATGTTTCAATTAGCAACAGAACCTTAGTGAGCAGGAAGTTGTTTGAAAGTACCATTTATGGACAGTTATTTTCCTTTATGAATTTTAATATAAAATTAGCACAAGTCAATTTGAAATAAAATATTTCACTGTTTACGGCTGAATAGTATTGCTGCAACTTACAGGGTTACAAGTTTTTCCAAATAAAAAATAAAATTTGGCACTACATAAAAAATTTTGAGTCGGCATTTTCATTAAATTTGACTTTTGATTTGTCTATTGACATCGTAAATTAAAAGCCAGTTGCCATTTGTACAAACACTGTCAAAAATTTATTTTTGAAAAAAAAAATAAATAAACAGTGCATAATAAAACAAGCAACAAAACAAGAAAAAAATCTACGCAGACGAATAATTTAATATAAAGTTGATAACAAACCTGGGTCCCAGAATTCAGGCCCGTACTGGCTGCTCCTCTCTCCATAACGCCCTCCATGATACCCTAGTAGTTCAAATTATCACCAATGATTAAAAGCTTTTTTTTAATATAGAAACAGAAAATAAAAATAAATTTATGACAGAAAAACAATTTTAAAAAAATTAAAAAACAAATAGCAACTGGGGCTTTTCATGCCAACTCAAAATAGTAGCTAGAGTTAAATAAATTTTGTCCTTTTTTGGTTTAATATTAATTTTACAACGAAATAGTATTGAGAAAGCCAAGAATGTGATTTTTTTTAAACAACATAATAAAATACATTTCTGACTTTCTATAATTTTGATGAATTATAAACAAAAACAAAACTATACACAAATGAATAGCAGATAGCAGGGTTATCCAAATATAAAAGCAAAGGTTGTGGTAAAGCTTTACAATATTAATATTAGGATTCTGGGAATCCAAGCAACTACAAAACTGCCTAAAAGCGAAGCACATTGGTTTATTAAAAAGCATAAATTAATAGTCACTACTTGCGCAACAATAATAAAGCATGACAAATTAAGCAAAGAAAATAGAATAAGCGATAGATTTAAAGCGTTAATAATAACAAAACAAATTGTTCGCCCAAAAATAAATAAGTATAACAAAACAAAAAACATATAATAAACACACAAAATAAATAAAATAAACATGGTTTTACATATACAAATGCCATTAACATATTTTAATCAAAAATATGTCATCCGTCTGTTGAAACTCCTGCCATGATTTTTAAAATATAACTGAAAAAAAAACTAAAAATATAAAAGAAAAAAATATATAAAAATAATAGTAGGGAGAACGATTTCTTCTAGTTAGTGTTTAAAAACGTCCTCTTAAAAACAAAATCATAAATCATAATTATAAGCTAGTGCTTTGAGAAAGTTAGTGTTGTTGCAGTTATGGGGGGGGGGGTCAAAGGCAATGCACACAGACGAAGCCTTGTGGGCGGGATCTCCGCCTCTTGCTATTGGATAACCCTGCAACTAGAAGGGCGGCGAGGAAACACAACAGCAAAATATTAAAATAAAATCTGAAAAAGTATCACAAGGCATCATATCTGAGCCAACAGAGGCAGCAAAACAAGGAGGCAGTTGAAACAATGTTAATAAAAGGTTGGGTGAAGTGTGCAAACCCACAACCAAAAGAGGTATATAATATACAATGATGATAGAAAAGAGATTTTTTTAAAATAAGAATAAACTTTTTCCTTTCAATAATTGTTTTTTCAAAACTCTGCTTTTCGTGATGTTCAATGCCTATGAGTTGGATCATCAGGTTTCAAAAAAATAAATCCTGCCAATATTCCGCTTTTCCCGGCGTTGCTGACTCAGATATGATTATTAAAATGTATTTGGTAATAGGCACGCTCGACCCAAATGTATTTTCTTCAATTTTTATGAAATGAAAAATGTGCCACAGACCAAACACATCATGAAGGATAAAAGAAAAAGGAGGCCTTTTTTTAAATATCTTGGGACACTTTTTGTTAAAAACCCACCGGCTGCGGCTGCCTTGCCCTTCCACGGGCCGGAGGTATTGCTGGAGTATAATCGTAATAGTAATCCTCATAACGATAATAGTCATCATAATATGGGTCACTGTAGCCGCCTCGATAATCCCCATAACCGTAATAGTCATAATCGTAATCTATAAAAACATAACACATCAAAATACCTAGCATTTTTAATTTATTACCGTTATATTTCTCCACTAGTTTTCTCTAAAATGCAACAATAAAGTTCTGAGGCAAAAAGAAAAAAACCAGTTTTGGTCTTGGCTTGGACTTAAATTCCATTTCACAAGTAAACTGAGTCTGTTAAACAATTAAATTGTCTTTCAAATATGAAACGAAACACATTAGTTACAAAATCGATTGAATTTGCCTCTTTCAAAATGAAAAAAAAAGTTCCCAAAATTGCAATGTATTATATCCTTGAAAAATCTCTTTAAAAAAAATATATTGTCTACTTGTGGTAAATTAGATAAACCGTAACATCCTTCTGATTAACATGGATGTCTTCAAGCAGCTCAGGTTCAAAATGTACCAAAAATGTTAAGAATTCAGTAAGTGTTTCAAGATATTTTGTTTTAACCTCAGAGCTTTATTGTAAACACTGAGTCTAAATTGAATTTCTATCTATTTACAGGAAAAAATGACTACTTATAATTTTGTCTTTTCTTTCAAATAAGTGCATGCCGGGAAAAGATTAACAATTTGGATAACTATTTCTTTCTAATTATATTTTAGTTACTTAAAACTTGAAAGGAAAAGGTAAATAAAGGGTCAATAAGGATCATTTTAGTATCCCTCCACACGTTGAAATAGAAATACCTTTGGCAATGTACAAACCAAAAAAGTGACACAAGATTGATTTTTTTTTTAAGCAAGAAAGAACACTTACCTTGTCGGTCATCAAAGCTGCCATAAACTTATAAATTTCAATTCTTTCTCTAGATAACTATTTTGGCAAATAAACAAGGGAAATGAAATGGAAATTGGTTAATGTAAAAAGACAACTGAACAATTTGGAAATAACATTAGACAATATTTTTTGGGCTCACATGTAAAGTTTTTGATTTTTTTCTACATGCGATGAAAATGAAAATATGTATAAAACAAATAGGCGTCGATATTTGGTAATTATTTGCTGATACTTGCAAAAATCGTGCATACATTTTTTAAAGCTTAAAAATCTTATTAAAGAGTATTAACCCTCACCAACCATTTTCTAATTTAAAACAAACCGAAATAATTTGTTTCAAATACTACTCTTTTATTAAAGAAATCTTTCAACCTTATCACCCATCAAAATTCCCTTACTTGCCTACTTCATAAAAACATTAATTAACATGTTAAAAATTGGCATGCAATTATTTTGAATAAATTTTGTTTGTATACAAAACTTTCAATAAATAATTTGTTGTAACATCACTTAGGTTATTGAGTGAATGAGCTGTATATTGGACTGTTTGTTAGATGAAAGCTGAAGCTTTGAGGATTTCATGCTTAATTTTGTTTTGTTTTCTGACCGAATCATTAATGAACCTTCAGAATACTCAATATCCTGTATGAAACTAGACTTACCATAGTCCCCACGTCCCATGGACCGCATGGTGCTAGAAGAACCTCGTGGCATCGGCCCACCCCTGGGCAACGGGGCCATCATGCTTGGATGCTGTGGAGAGAACCTGAAAAAACAAATCGGCTCCTTTTCACCAGTGATAAATACGAACAATTGAAGACTGTGGAATAGTCTTGGATTATATGCAAATTGTGTAAGGTAACAATTTGGGAAACTTTTCTTTATTCACACAAGGTAATAAATAAAAATGGGTCAGACAGATCCTTTTGTCTTTAAAACTTGAATAATGTAATCTTTAACATGAAAAATGTTCGCATAATTAACAGAAGATTGAAGTTCAATTTTATTTTTTCCTAATATGACATACCCTCCTCCTCGCAACTGCATCATTTGCATCATTCGGCGTTCCCTAGCTCTTAAGATCTCTTCTTTTTTCTTTTTATCTGATGGTGGCTTGGCTAGAGAAACTTCAATACTTGACCCACCCATGTCCTTTCCATTTAGTTCATCCATAGCCTTTTATGCAAATTACAGTGAATATCAATATTAAATTGACGTGTTATAAGGTTTAAGGACTTAAGGGTACTTACGTTGACTGCGTGATCTCTTTCATCAAAGTGAATGAATGCGTAATCCTTAATTTTCTTAACTCTATCAACTTTACCAAAAACTTCAAAGGCCTCTTTGAGCTTCTCCTCTGAGCATTCTTGAGTAAGGTTCCTAACATAGAGCACCTTGACCTATTTGGAAGATTTCACACAAAATTATAAGGGTTTGTAATTAAAAGATGTTTTTAGGAGCTAAATAGCCAATTTTGCATTAGATTAATTACAAACTTTAGCCATGGTTTCTGAATCCGGTTCCTCTTGAGGGTCGGCCCAGTCCACAATTATATCACAGCCCCAGACTTTGACACGTCCAGTCCCAAGCCTCCTTTTAGCAAGAGATGCCGCCTTGTGGGATTCATACTCCAAAAAGCAAAATCCCCTGTTTTTCTTTTTATCGTCCGGAGAGCTATAGATGATTACTTCTGTCAATCCAGCTAAAGACGACAAAATTGTTTAAGAGAAGGTGTAAATTTCATTAGACCTGTTTCTTTTCAGTTTTTCGTTTTTATACATAGAGTACAAAAAAAAAATTAAAAATTAAGCCCACCCACCCCTTCATTTACCGTGGAATATTTTATTAATTTCAAAAGGGCAACAGAGTGAAATAAGCAGCAGAGTTAAAGCTTTATTTGTATATATAAAATCATGCTTTCCTAATTTAAAAAATTGCTTTAAAAATAAATAAAAATTGGCAAAAAGCATACCTTTTTTAAATTTAATTCATGAAGTTAATATAAATAACATTAATATAGCAACTACAACTACTTACAAATTCCAAAGCCAACCCAGCAGTTTTATTGCTTTTTTAATTTCAATAAGGAACAATTATGGTAGAACACCGAAATTAACAAACACCACTTCATTTTATTAGATCATTTACAGTGTGTTAAACAAAAATTTAAGTATTAGATGATTGATAAAAAATATTAGTAAATAACGTGTGTTTGAGTAAACATTAATTTGTACATTTACATTACAACAAATAAATAAAATAAACATGCGTTTCATTTGAGTATGAGGTTCGGACATTTTTTCATAATTACCACCCCAACATGCGATTTGGACTATTAAAATTTTGTAAATTAAGCAAAATAAAAAAAAATTAATCTGCCGTTGTAAGAAGAGATAAATAAAACATGGAACATAAATAGGGGGAGGCATTCCAACTTACGTGCATGTTTTGAAAATTCCTCAAAAAGATCATCCCTGTCACGGTTCTTTGGTATATTCCCAACAAATAAGCGGTGATTGTTATAAGAAACGGTTACACCAATCTTTTTCCCTTTTCGAATTTCGTAATCATTGAGCTGCAATAAGAACGTGGAAGGGAAAAACGCCAATTAAAAAAACGAAAAGGCACGAGGAGGGGTGTATGCCTCTTGCCAACTGACGGTCGGGGGTGGGGGGAGCTCGCTTTTACACTAACTTGATGACAGATTTAAAAAAGAAAAGAAAAAAAAAACGAAAGAAAAGAAAAACCAGCAAGGAAAGCCCTGACAAAGCCTTCATTGCTGCATTGGTTATGTGTACTCAGCAACAACTTTACCTGTTAATTTACTAAATTCTTCCATGATCTCCTCTTTGCCTTTGGACTTTGGTATGTTCCCAACGAAAAGTCGCAGATTCGGTACACTAATGTTAACTTTCAGGTGCTTGCCGGGTTTGATTTCGTGATTATCGAGCTGTGGATTTAGAAAAAAAAACATGCCAAAAAGTCAAAACAAAAATATTAAAAAAATCTAGATTTTGTAAAGAAAATGTTTTTCGGAAATCTTTTTTTTTTTAAATCATATTAAATTTAAATGTTATTCTAAGACTTTATTTTTTTCAATTACTTTATTTTACTCTATATATTTAAAAACATCGCAACAAAACCGGGCTCTTATCCCTGAAACACACACCTACTAAAAACTGTTAAAGGTAAAAAATAATCAAAATCAAAATCATTACTAACTACTCTCTCAATTGTAAATACTTATAATGTACAAATAACGGTCTACAAAGCACAACTCAAGGATTGTAAGATGAGGGAGTTGAGAACTCTAGACTCGAACAATTTGCTCAATGAGCAAAGAGGAGGCCTAGGATTCTTTTTAATTGTTCTTTTATCACGCTACTTGTTAAATTATCTTACCTTTCTTTCACCTCCACCAATATAAGAATAAAAATCCAAATTATTTATAAGTTATGAAATTAAAATAATAAAATTAATATATCGTACACTCTACAATGAATAAAAGAAAACCTCCACAATATCATGCACAGTTGTTGACAGATAAAAGAATGGCTATATCTGAAATACACCATAAAAAAAAATAAAATAAAAAACCCTAAGATTTACTATTAACAAAAAGGTAGTGTAAAACTAGCCTAAGAAGTCAGAAAAGCCATTCTGTACACTGCTTTGGGTACACATACCAATGGTAGTGAATGAAACATAAGACTGAAGCTATTTCAATCGCTGATTTAATAATGATTACTGTGTTTTTCTTTCAAGTCAACTGGGCTAATTCGAATACAAAAATGCAGGAAGGCATACACAAAATTTTTTAAACAAAAACAAATAATAGAATAGATAAGGAAAACAAGACTGTGTCTTATGTGGAATGAAGTCAGGATATAAGAAATGATTATTTACAAATGTGTTGAAATTTAGAAAAGTTTAACACTTACATCTTTAGTCGCCTGCTGGGCTTCTTCTTTAGTCGTGTAAGTAATAAAAGCATAACCTCTGTTAGTTCCAGTCATAGGATCCATCATTAGCCTTAAATCCCATATTTTGCCACTCTTTTCAAATAATAAGATTAATTCGTCTTCAAACATATCTTTAGGAATTTTACCACAAAATACCTATAAATAGCGATTTTTCCCGTTTAAATCCTGACTGTTTTAATAACTAAATACCTTAATTTCTATTCATATTTCAATTATAGCGGTTTTCATTCTCACTTCACAGCCAGGGCCTGGTGGAGGCCCATCCCAGTTCGGTGGCGGGCCACCATATTTCCTTTGGCCGGTCGTCACGTCTAACGTGTAGCCAGTCCTTTCAAGAATCGCCTGAAAAATATTCCATTATTGGCAGTTTTATCACAACCAAACTTTTTAAAAAATTGAAAATTTCCTATATGGCATAGTTAAAAACTTAAAAAACTCAAGGTATAAGAAAGGTAAATTAATAATTTTTAATATTTACCTTGATTTTATCCTCGTCAGGGCCTTTGGCAGGAGTGGATGCAGGAGTGGTATTGCCAGCAGACCCCGGTCCAGCAGTACCACCACCCCTGCTCTTCTGCCTGTACGTTTTCATGACCCCACATAGATAAGCTGATTTGTTGGAAACGTGTTCTAAATTGGATTCTAAAAATTGGGTCAACACATTGACAGCACCTTCAACTGGGAACTCTTTTAGAGCGTCGAGAGCGCGTTCATCAAGGTCGGCATGCGCTAATTTTCCTATTGGGGAAATCAAAATTTTTAAGTTATAAAACTCACTAGTAGAAAAAAGAAAATAAAAGGACGATAAATTCTACAAACCTGATCTATAAATTTCGTCCAATTTTGATGCTACTTTTACATCCAGTCCATAAGCAATTAGTTTTGGATAGTCTTCTGTTTTTTCGACACTGTCATCATCTGTTGCTGAATTTTCATTTTTTATTGTCACTTCCCCGTTACCTTCTGCCATGGCTAAACAAAATAAAATTAAAGATATAATGATTAGAAATTATAAAACAAATGATGTAATGTTAGGGATAAAAAAAAGCTTGCTACTAAGACTAAACGGCCTATCAACTACCAAAAATGGCCACCTTTCTAATGTGCACAACCAAAAATTATCATTAAAATAAAAATAATAATTTCTGATTAAACCTTGAATTGCAATAGATTTTAAAAAGATTTAAAGATTTATTCAAAGTACACTTAAACTTAAAAAACGTCTACCATATCAACACCAAATGTTCAGGATGCTCTTGAATTTTAAATAAAAAATAATTTATACTTCCTTATTTATACTTTAAAAAAATAATTTTAAGGCCTAGCTTGATCATCTTCAATCATCAAAATCTGCCTATTATTGCTGGTAATTCTCCTACCCTAGATTACTTCTAAACTACTATTAGTCTATATTTTATAAAAGCCCAACCACCAAAACAACAGCATAAAAACAAAGCCAGTGAGAACAGGCAGACCAGGATGATATAAGAGTATTAAGCTACTGCACCTACCAGATCATCACCAAAAATAACTTAAATATAACAAACATTTTTATTTTAAAAAATACAGGCCAAGTCAAATGAATATCAATTCAACATACTAAAATTTTGGACATTCTGGCAAACTTTTAGCTTACGTTGAATGTTTGATTTGATTATTTCTTGTTAAAATACAAAAATAAATAGAAAGCATATATTATTTGACATAAAACATACATGATGTATGGGTAACTTATGAGAAACCTAAGATTTGCAAAATGCGACGGTCTGTAACAAAATGTACCAAAAAAGATTGGAAAATTGTATGACAAGTTTTTTTTTTTTTTTTTTAATTCATGCTGAATTGGCATTGGTCTATTTGAGTAGTTCAACAAACCCCCGAGTAAAGATAGGTTCAGCATGAGTTCACCTACTCGCAGACGAACACCTACATCAACAAAAGTATTTCTAGCGAGATTTCCTCATATGGTCTGCTCAGTAATGAACTTAAAAAAAAAATTTATTTGAACATAGTTCACATACTTAGTCTACAAATAAAGAGGACCGACAATAACAAAGACTGACAGGAACATTTAAAAAAATTAATATGCCAAAAGCCCCGACACACTCCAACCTCATGACTAAAGAGGCTTGACTTAACCCACAGACACACTGAAGATGGTGAGAAGATGAAACAACCGACACACTCCAACCCCATGGCCTTAAAAAAGAGTCTTAACATATACAGACACACTGAAGATGGTGGAAAACAAAATACGTGTGATAAATCAACCCAGCAAAGATAGGCATACCGTAATGATCATTAATGATCAAATTGAAAAAATATTTGTAACAAATAAAAAAAAACACTGAAACTTTATAGACATGCCTATTTATTGCACTCGTATGTTAACACTGGTGAAATTATAACAAAATATTTGTCAAATTTGACAATGTAGTAAAAAAAATTCAAATGGTTAGTAGAAATTTAAGATAACTAAAACCACACCGAATGCAAATTAAGCGATAGGACAAAAAGAATTCAAGACTTGTAACTTTGCCAATTTACAAGTGCTCATACTTCTCAGCCAATACTTCAAATTATAAAAAAACCGATTCTACGACAGATAAAATTTACTTTTAAATTCACTTTACTTTTAACTGGATTTACTTTTAAATATCATTTTCTTTTTTAAATATGAATGTTTATAAGCCTAATTCTTTTATAAAAAAATAAATTGATGTAACAGCTGTTGGTTAGATTTAAGCTGTGTGTTTTACAAGGTTTATCTTTTTAGATTTTATAATAGGTGTTTTACGCTGTTTATTATGTAGGACTTTAAATATAACAGTTTAGAAAGGATTAGAAAGTTTTGATGGGGTTTCAAAATAGGCCTTAAATAATTGTTTTATTTTAATTTTTTGGGGGATACACTTAAGTGTTAAAATGTTAAAGGAAAGTAAAAGTGAAGTTTAAGACAAAGGGAAAGGATTTTTGGGGGGAGGAGGCAACAAGTGTTACTCCAATATGGCAAGTCAAAGCAGGTAGAAATCCGCTTTATCTTCTCTTTTTTAATTGCAAATAAAAGAAAATGTGTGCGAGAGAGGAAAGGAGGTAGAGAGAGAAGAAAAAAGGAGAATTGGAAGTTTTGAAAGTAAAAAAAAAAAAGAAAGTTAAACGGTCTCTATGAAAATCGCGTGTTAGAACGCCTGACATTTAAATTTTACTTTCCAGTAGAATTTAAAACGGAGGAAAATCGAGAAAATGTCTTTCCTCCGTCGTAGAAATAAAACAGTTATAAATAAAACTTAAAATAAAGCCATATAACCTAATCACAAACAATAAAAAAAATGTGTAACCTCTTAACAAGTCCGAATTATCTCCAGGCGGATTTAAATAAGAAAAAGATTCGAAACCGAGGTCGGCCCGATTCTCCTCAGACATCTTCATTTGATAAAATCCAGAGAAAAGTCGAGAAAATAGTGTGGACGGCTCGAAAGTAAGGAGAGACGAGAAATTAAGGTTAAGGGCCGAGGGACTGGGAAAGGCGCTGGAAACAAGTATTAATAAGAAAAACAAAGGAAGATCAGGCCGAGGGGAAAAAATGGGATAACTAAATAGTCGTTTTGATATCGGAATACAAAAAACTGTCGATTCGTGCGTCGGTGAAAAGGTGTAGCGGGGCCGGTCAGGGGAAAAACGGGAAAACCGGCCGGCTTTGAAAACGCCAGTTGGAAACGAGTGAAAACGTCTCGAAACGTCGTTACTTACGTGTTATTAGGCCATAAAATTCAGTTGGAAACGAGCGAGGCGGTCGGGGAGCGTCGGATGTCCGGAAACGCGGACACAAGGCGGCTGAGACGGTGAGTCGTCGGCAGGGAGTGAAAAATGCACCGAGTGCGAAATGGCGGCCGTCTCGACTCGCGACCTCAACCTCGGCTCGACGTGATCCCGTAATTCCTTAGAGACCGACGCGCAATAATAATCTCGATTCTCGAGCGCGGCGCCATTGACGAACCCTCTCTCCTCTCTTGATCCTTCTCAATCATTCTCTCTCACTCACTCTTTCTCTCTCCCTCTAGAAACGGGTCCGCTGCGCTTTTGAACGGCTTTTTCCGACCCACATTCCCGCGCAGCAAAACCGATCCGCGACAAATGGAAAACGGGGAAATTCGAGGGGACAGACGCTGCCGCCTCCGCCACGGACCCGCCCCCTAAAAAAATCGCAATAAATTTATTCATCCCGCAAAATTTTAAACGAGCTTTTGCATACGCAAATATATAGAGTACACCACTGCAATCTTGCCATCTGTGGCTTGGACAAGCCAGACAATTTGCAAAAACCCAAGTAGAAACTTCTAATTTATATATTTTTGTTCCCAATATAAATGAAATGTTATAAATAAATTTAAATGAAAGATTCAGACGTCCTGCAAAATTTGCATCTAGCATGTAAAGTACAGCACTGCAGTCTTGCCATCTGACATTGCCAACTTCGATATTTTCCAAAAACCCAAATAGAAAGTTTAATTTATTGGGTTTTCTTCGAAAACATAAATGAAATATTATGGTATGTAATATTAACAACCGAAATAACCCATCGCCAGTAGAATTTAAATCTTTACCCGCCCTACAAAATTTGCACTCTGCGTATAAAGTACATCTTGTCGTATGTGGCTTGGCCAAGCATGACATTTTGCAAAAACCCTAGTAAGATCGTTTAATTTATTGTTTTTCTTCCAATATTAATGATATATTTCGTTTATGTTATGTAATATTAACGACCCTTGAGATGGAGTTGGTTGTTTACAAAGTCTATCTCTATTTTCCCTATACTTATACTAACTGATTATAAAATTCTGTCATTCCGATCCAACTGTTCTGGCTTAATTTCCAGGGAGGGAGGGGAGAGAATTAAGACTGTTATGAAATGTTTCGACACCCCTTTTGTAATTCGTCCCTCCGTTTTTTACGGGCGTATTTAGCATTCTGCTCTCTCTCTCTCCCCCCAAGCGAAAGGTGAAAAAAAAATCCTTTGTGCAAATTGGAGAAAAAATCAACCCCCTCCTGTTAATAAAATAAAGAGGCACTCGATGTGTGCAGACCAGGTGCCACATACGCCCAACACTTTTTTTTATGTCCTGCATCAACCTAATTATAAAGCAAATCAAAATAAACTATTTTTGGGGTACGAAGTTTAAGGGTTAAAATCTGCCAATCTTTAATTTTAAATTCCTTAGTTTTTAATTGTTTCCTTACAAAAGGACATTTCCTCATTATGATAGAATTAGTTATTCTAGTTTTGACATAACCAAATTTTCTGCGAATTTGAGTATAAATTAATGTACATTTGATCAAAATTTCAATTTCAATTTTAGAAATTATATTGGATTTTATTATGCTCTTGGTGTCTGTGTTTGTTTATAGTCTCTCTCTCTCTCTCTCACTCTCACTCTCTCTCTCTCTCTCTCTCTCTCTCTCTCTCTCTCTCTCTCTCTCTCTCTCTCCCCCCTCGCTCGCTCTCGCTCTCTCTCTCCCTCTCATTTTTTGTCTGTATGAGTATGTGACTTATATGTTCATCTTTAACGTACAATTAAACATATAATGATGCATATAAACTCTTTCAAGGGAATCTTTTCAACTAATATAAGACCTAAACTACTTTGAAATATGTGTGTTTTACGAAATATTCTTTTTTGAGTTTTTAGTGTGGAACGTACACTTCAATAATAGAAAATATTTCAGATTCTGTTATATACTTGTGTTTTGTTTGTTTGTTTTATTGAATGAATTTTATCTAAATAATTAAAATATGATATGTGCTTCATAAATTAACGTTTTTGACGTTTTGGTTAATAGTTATGTGCTAATAACAATAATTGGTCAAGCGGACCACGAAATTAGTGAAGCTAATAACAATTTTTGCCATTTCTCGGTGAGCCCCCCATTATATTTAGCAATGTAGTGATTGTTTTTATTATATTATTTATTTTATTTTATGCAATGGAGATAGTTATATTTATGTTTAAAATGCAAAATGCAAGCAATGATCGTAAATTTATTGTTTAATTAAATTTATTTGTAGAAGAGTTGGAATTCCCGCGGTTGGCGGACCTGCGGCAACTTGTAGAATCTAAAGTAGGCGTGGACCGAAGCTAGAGAGATGTTTATGTTATAACGCCTCTTCAGTATTTTCCTTAGTATTAATATTTTAAAATAGATGCTTTATTAAGGTGTCCAAAAATGTGGAAAGGAGTGTTCATTTACGCTTTGATATTCGTCATAGGGGTTTTCTGCCAGTACGAATGGCAGGCGAAAGACTCATTCGACGAGGTGAAAAGGCAAATGGACAAAGTAAACAAGGATAATTGCGAGATTCAGAAACTTTTCGACCTCTTCCTCCCCGAAGATTCCGTCTCGCATCTGCCCGATTTGAAGGAGATCAACATAAACCCCGTTTTCCCGAACAGGACCCAGCTCCTGCACCTGCAGAACCTGGCCCTGAGCCGGGCCTTTTTCTACAGCTACATACTCCAGGCCAGGTTCATCCGTCCAGCCATCAACGACACGTACGATCCGGGGATGATGTATTACTTCCTCTCGACAGTCGCAGACGTCTCGTCCAGCCCTTACATAAATGCGAGCGCTATTTATTTCTCACCGAACATGTCATATTCGCCCTCCTACAGGGGTTTCTTCAACAAAACATTCTCCAGATTCGCCCCAAGAACGTACAGGTAATGCATATAAAAAGATTCAAACATACTGCGAAAGAACATTCCCCATCGCCAAGTACGCTGACTTGATATGGTTTTGCATACTGTGCAGAATCAGGTTTGTCTGCATAAAGTATAACCTCGCAAGGTGAACTGTATCATATCTGCCCCACCCTATTTTGCATTTCTAATTGTAGAAAACTACAAATCTTCAATATAATAAATATACCAAATACTGAAAAGCAGGTTGTGCGTTAAGCAAAATGAACAGTAAAGTCAGCACATGATGTTCATACTTATCAAAGACTGCACACCAGGGCACACAGTAAGGTAATCCATCTAACCAACACACAAAACAAGAAAAGCAAGAACTCAACCAAAGATATGGACAACTCAAACTTGGACCCAAATCCGCAATGAGTACACACAACAAACTAACTGTATACAAGACAATAATTAGACCGATTTTGACTTACAAAGTTGAGCTGTGGTGCTCTCTGAAGCCATGCAACATCCAAATAAATCCTTTCAATCAAAAGTCCTCGCCTCATCCTTAACGGTTCTATCTCACTAACCATCAACAAAGATCTATCCCATTTGTGAGGTTCCACAACTTCTACTTAAAGCTTTCCTGCCACACCAATCCACTAGCTCAAGCCCTTTCTTCATCGTCTCATCCTAACAATCCTCCATGCCGACTAAAACACAGTGGTCTCATGACCTCCTAACTCAACCCCAAACCTCAACCGGCAATCCTGAACACAGAGTTACGGCAGTGGCCAACTCTTCTCCCTTTTCCCCATCCCTGTGGTCTGACATACCCTGCCAGATCTTTCATGAACAACACATTGTTAAATTTGTAAAATTTTTTTTGTACAGAAAACAATAAAAATAATACATAAAAAAATCAATTGCCAAACAATATTTTATTCTCCCAAAATAATCTTACGTTGATTTTTTTTCTTTTTTTGCTTTTTAGTCAAAAAGTATTCAAAGAAACTATGAAACAATAAGCGTATCTGTTTGTTTTTCATTCGGCAAACATTCATTTGCCTTGTTGCCTTGTTTAATTGATAAATTTCCATTTTGTTTTATGTTTAGGCCAATTTTTGTGTAAGTTCACTGCATGCAGAGTCTCACACTAAAATTTGTATGCGTATTTTGTTCTTTTTTTTATAATACATCTAAATCTTGATGTTGCATTGCAAATATTGAGAAACAGGAACACATTCATCTAAAAACAATTTTGGCATGACTCACTGTGCCAAGAAATTAATTTTATTCGGTTTTATACAAGTTTAGAAGTATCAATCACTTTTTTACTCACAAATAATCTAGGTCTCGGTATGGTCTGGATGAAAAAAACAAATTCAGTTTCTACCTGCCATGCTTTTGACCTATTTTAAGGTCATCATCAGGGTGAAACAATCTTAAAGATGTCTACAAATTGACGTAATTAAGTTTTTAATAGATGGTTTAAAAATTTCTATGAAGACCGACTCAGTCCCAACATTGCTAAGGACTGCAGCAAGAACATGATATTCTTTAACAACCGAAAATCTGTTAAAATGGCCATGGGCAATGTTGGGTCTGAATCGGTCTTCAAAGAAATTTGAAACCATATATTAAAAACTTAATTTTGTAAATTTTAGACATCTTTGGGCAGTTGTGCCCTGATGATGTCCTTAAAATAGGCTGAAAGATTGGCAGATTGAATTTGTTTTTACACTGGTGCACATGACTCACATATTGGATTATTCATTATTTTCTAACAATAAATGAGCTAAATAATTCAATCATCTTGGTCTGCCTGTACTCGCTGGGTTGTTCTGTCAGGCACGTTTCGCCATTTCTCCATCTTCACTTGGTGTTCAGTCCATTTTCAGACACACTGAAGATTACAAAATGCGGAAAGATGTCTGACAAACCATGTTAATGAGGATAGACAGACTAATGATGATCGGCAAAATTATGAGCTAAATAACTGCTAATAATTGATTACAATATTATCAATATAAAATTGTATTGAAACATAGATTTTTAAAAAAGTGATTGTAGCTTGAACAACTCTGGTTGTCCTGGTCTGCACTAGGTTGTCCTGGTCTGCACTATTTTATAAGCTATATTTTAGATTTTTAAACAATGTTCAACCAAATTTAGGATAAAGAAAAAAGAGCATTAATTGGCAGGATGATTGAGTACGATCAAGTTACAGTCATCATGCATATGTTTCTCAATAACTACAAAATAAACCAAAAATCCTAGAATACTGTATAATCATTTAGACTTTGACTTCATTTAGGTTTGATTTTTCATAATTTTGAAGAAAAAAAATCATCAAATTAGAAGTAGTTACAAGGGTTAAAACTTTGTGATTATTCAATTACCTGACATAAAAAAACCTCCTGCTAATTGACCCTCCTCCCAAAAACTTTATTACATGACCAAATTTAAAAAAAATCAAACTGTACAGATATTTTTTGAATTAGTTAAAATATATAGATTTATTTAAATAAGCAAAGGAATTATTTGATGGTTGGTGTTGGTCTATGAGTCAGTGAATACATGTTGAATCCGCCACTGGGTCTGTCTAGACAATGACGATGGCTCAAAACCGAAAAAGTAGATGTAACCAGTAAGTGACCAGTGCCAGTTCAACAAAGGAATTATTTCATTTTCAAAATTATATAATAATGTTGAAAAATAAAGAGTGAAACATACCAAAAATAAGAATTTTTCGGTTACATAGAGCTCGGATTACAAAACTGTTTTTAAATATGATGTAGCGACAAATTACTTAGACAGGTTAAAACAAAATTTATGAAAAATAGCATCTTAAATCGATTATAATGTCATTATTAATTTTTTTTTTAAATTAAACCGTTCAATTTGTTTCAGGGCTGATGATTTTAATGATCCGCTGCACTTGGAAAGAATATCAACTTTGAACACGTTCAACGTACAAGATCTAGGAGCATTCTCTAATGAAAGCCTCACCTATGATTACACGACGGAATATTACAGGATAAACGAATGGTGAGAGAAAGATTTTATTTTAAAATAATTTTAAAAAAGAAATAAAACATGAATTTATATAATCATTATAATGATTTATCAACATTTTCAACAGAATTTGTCTCTATCATATAAATAAAAAGGTAAAGAAACCAAGTCAAATTTAAGATAAATTACTCTAATTAATTTGTAATTTGATCCTTATCCCTCTTGGTTTGCTTATCCTCGTTGGGTTGGTCTGTCAGACATGTTTCACTATCTTAAGTATGTCTAAGTGCATTAACAATTTTAAGAGTCACAACACTGAAGATGGCAAAGTAGCAAAATGCATCTGACAGATCAACCAAGTAAGGATCAAATAACAGGTTCTTAACAGACCATAGGAGGAAATCTCACGATCTACTTAATTCATTGTTTATTTGAGAAGACTACGTTATTCACTATTACAAATTTTACCCTTTACCCAGTCAAAATTTAATTTGCATAACCACTGGTCATATATTTAATTTTTAATTTTATAAGGTAAATTTGTTAACTACTGTATTTTTTTTTTCCTTCAACAGAAAACAAATATTTTTATTTAATTTGTTGAACTGAAATGAAAGGGTTTAAAGATGCATAGAGTGCTTATTTAACATTGTACAAAGTAAAAGTAAAAATTTAACTGTGAAGGCATGCAAAAAGGAGGGAAAAAAGCCAAATTCTACACATTCCAATTAAAAAAAAAAAATCTACTATTTAAAGGTACAATCTTTGGCTGCCAGATGAATCAGTAGGAAAAGGAAGGCATGATACTAAAACTACGTACCAAGTCGAGATCCGCTATGCCAATAATACTAATGAAACATTTACTTTCCACGGTCCTCCAGGTAGGTTCTTTCTCCGTTTCTTACTGCAAACGAATTTGCTCATTTTAGAATAATTTCATATTAAAATCATTTCTGTTTTAGGTGCCGATGAACACCCTGGCCCTGTTAAGTATACAAGGCCGTATTTTGACTGTAACAGGGCAAATAAATGGCTCGTCGCAGCTGTTGTGCCCATCGCAGACATTTACCCGAGGCACACCCAGTTTAGACACATTGAATATCCAGCGTAATTATTATGACATCTTCATTTTTAATTTTAAAATGTTTTTAAAATTAATGGTAATTTTTAATTTACAGATATACAGCAGTTTCAGTTATTGAAATGGATTTTGAGCGTATAGATATAAATCAATGTCCGACAGGAGAAGGAAATAGTGGTCCTAATCATTTTGCAGACACAGCCAGGTGTAAAAAAGAAACAACAGAGGTAAACTTTGTAAACTTGTCAATTAAATAAAAAAATTTAATTTAATATTTGTTTTCAGTGTGAGCCGATTGACGGTTGGGGATTTAGGAGGGGCGGTTACCAGTGCCGTTGCCGTCCCGGGTTCAGGCTACCAACCGTCGTTCGAAGGCCATTTTTAGGGGAAATACTTGAAAGGGCGACATCTGAACAATTCTATAACGGTTTTGACTGTCTTAAAATAGGATGTATGTTTGCTCATTTGTATAAAATAGTAAAAATCTATAAGTTTTGTTATTACAGGGAAACATAAATTGCCCAGTAAGTGGGAGAAGGCATTACCTTACATTCGGGCTGAAGAGTTGGAGAAACATTATGAGTACGTTAATAAAAGTGACAAGATTAATCCGTTTCAATCTAGAATCCTTAATATACACGATGCTCTAAATTTTATCTACGGTGTCAAGCCTTCAAATTGTAAAAAGTAAGTGGGATAATTATTTTTAAAATTTTTATTAAATCAAAATGTTTAACAGGTATAAACCACAAGATTTGCAACTTATGGGTAGCGTTAGCTTTGGCGCCGAAAAATTTTTTGAGAACGAAGCAAAAATGGCCGTCCGACTGGCAAATTTTATAAGTGCGTTTTTACAGGTAATATATTTTTGTTCAATTCTTTTGGATTTATTATCGTAATAAAAAACCTAATATAGATTGGCCCGTTTTAAGGTTTCGGATCCGCAAGAAGTCTATTCTGGGAAACGTGTAGCAGACAAACCTCTCTCAGAGGATCAGATGATGGGAGAAACGGTTTCGTTGATCATGGGTGACAGTAAGATATGGGCTGCTGGGACCTATTGGGACAGGAATAAATTCACAAACCGTACATATTTCGCACCATACGCCTACAAAACTGAATTAAACATAAGGAAGTTCTTTCTAGAAGATCTTGCCCGTTTGAATAAATCAGGTTTGTTTGAAAAAAAAAATTTTTTTTGCTAAAAATTAAAAGTATTGTTTTATTTTAGATGAAGTCTACACAAATAAACCCTGGTTTCAGTTTTTGAAGGAAAGATGGTCGACTAATTTTGATTCTTTAGAAAAATACAACATGAAAATAAAACTTAGGTTTACTGAAACTGGCGATCATTTGACAAAATATGAACACTACCCAAATTACTACAGGTTTGGAAGATTTACAGGGAAAAAATTATTTGTTATAATATTTATGTAATTTTTAGGGCTGCAAATTTTGATCATGGGCACTGGACCAATCCTTACTTTGATTGCGATGGCAAAGTGAAAAAATGGCTGATTACTTATGCTGTACCGTTTTTTGGCTGGGATAGCCTTAAAGTTAAATTGGAATTTAAGTAAGATTTTATTTATTTTTAACTGTTATAAGAGGATAGAGAATTTTTTTATTTCATTTTATTTATTTATTTATTTTTTAATAGGGGTGTAGTGGCTGTAAACATGGATCTACTTCAACTGGATATAAATCAATGTCCTGATAAATATTACACACCAAATGTATTTAAGGGCACGCATAAATGTGATATGAAGAATTCATATGTAAGTAATAAATTTGGTCTCAATTGACTCACCGTAATTTGAAGTTGTAGATAGAGAAATATCCGTTGGTCACTTGAATGTTGTCTTTTTTTGATAAAAACAAAATTTTAGCAGAATATCTCACTGACTCACTGATTTTAGATACACAAACGTCCATCACATTTCACTAAAGAGGGTGTTGTGTTGGGTGTCATAACACCCAGTTCTTCGTTTTTGAAAATTTAGATATCTGATGTTGATTTTTTTTCTTGTTGCAAAAAAAAAGTGCGTGCCGATCCTGGGACGAGGATTCGACGCAGGTGGCTATAAGTGTGAGTGTCTCCAAGGCTACGAGTATCCGTTTGAAGATCTCATCACGTACTATGATGGACAGTTGTTGGAAGCAGAATTTCTGAACCTGGTCGTGGACAATGCCACAAGGTGAGTGAGAAAAGGGATCTTTTCCCATGGACCATCCCCCCCTTTGCTCCTCAACCCCACTCTGGTGCTCAAGAGAAGAAAAGTGGGGCTGAAGAAACGGGTTTTAACTGACTACCTTCCCACAAGAACAAGAAGTTGCCCCCTCTCTCAAAAACTACCCCCATGTCAATTCAAGTAATACCTACAGGAAACAGTTAACTACCCTCTATGGATCATCACTTTATTTTTTTTTTTTGTAATTTCATTACTATCCGTACTCTCCTTTACACATAAATATTAACATATATTTCAACACATAAACGATCACATTTTCACCATTTTTAATCACAACATTTAAAATTAAACCGTAATAAATAAAATTAATGTTTAAGGAAGTAAATTCTAAACCAGAATGGAAAAAAGCGCCACCCCAAAGTATACACCTGTTTCCAAACTCATTCAAGATAGTATTTAACCCCTATAGAAACTAGTTTTTTTCTCCCACCCCTGGCTCAAATAAGGACTAGTTTACAAATAGTGCAAACTCATCACTATTTCTAAATTTACATATATATAAAACACTTAAAAAAATTTAATAGTATTCAGTGGTTCATTCATGAAATTATTTTTCATTATATTTTTATAACTCACCTTCAGTGTAAAAGACTCCCTTATTCAGTTTCTCCTCACTGCAGCTCAGAGGAACTCTGCAATTTGAGAAGAATATATTAAATTGCACACTTAAACCTAGAAAAAGTTCATAATAGATTCGTTTAAATTTATCACATTAGTTCTTCATAATAAGAATTATGCAATTTTTTTTGTAAGAAAAATCCCACTAAAATAAAAATTTACATGATAAAATTACAATATTCAATTAGGCTTAACGATTGTTTTCCAATAAATTTAAATAATCTTTATTTATAATGTGTTTTCATTAATAGTTAGTACTGAAGTTTGAAAACAGTAAAGAATAGTCTCTGAATTTAAAAAGGGCTGTTGATGTATTAATTTGTTAATATTTGACATTTCCAATTACTACCTTCATAATTTGTCTATGATAAATTTCAAAAAGATGTATTTTTGAACTGCCAGATATATTGATTAGATTAATTTTTTATAGCTTTTTCAGCAAATCAAATAAATAATATATAGTACATATTTAAAAAATTATATGGTCTTATCTAGTGGTACAAAAAAACAGTGTTTTACAGTCTATATAACAATTCCACAATAAATGTAGGTTGAATGATATTTAATGTATGAAAATGTGCTCCATTTAAATTTGATTATTGCCAAAATTAAAACTAAAATTTTCTGCATTATTTAGTAGGTCATTATTTAAGAAAAAAAAACTTGTTCTGCAAGTATGCATGACATTCGTTGAGGCAGGCCAGACACCACATTCCCCTTCTTACTCACTATTAACAAAAAAAATGTATATTAAAATTTTATGAATTTTCTGTTTCAGGTTTGACATGCTGAAGTGCAGAGTTGCATTTGCGACGAGCACACAGGGTAGCCTGATCGTTTTGTTAACACTTTTCTTTACGTTGAGACTATTATAATTGTATTATTATGAGACTTTTATTGAATTTAGATTTTTTTTTAATATTGAAAAGCAATTTTATTTAGTATTGTTAAATAAATTAGATCTGATTAAAAATCAAGTAGACTTAAGCGGACCTAGTTCCGTTCTTGTATAATGTATCCGTCCAAATTTTTGATAATAGAGCACAATATTGTTGATTTCTAAGGCCACAAGAGGTGAAGAAAAATAGCTATTCTTGGAAGTTTATACAAAGTATTGCAAAGAATCAAATATATTTTTTATATGTAATGTTTTGTATGTTGTATGTAAGGTATTTATGTTATGTCAATTTTATTACTATCATTTTTTTTTGGGGGGGGGAGTTATGTTAACAAACATTTCCATGTGGTTTTTTTAAAATCACTTTTTTAAAAAGCTTACCTTATATTGTACTAAATTTATAATTTAAATAAAAAATAAATTAAAAATGTAAAATATTAATATCATGTTTGTACTTGTCTTTAAAAAAAAAATATATATATATGTATAGGTGTTGATGATGGAGTAAACTTCCAAAATGTCCAAATGAACGTAAATAATTAATGTATTTACTCGTTTTTTTATTAAAAAACCACATAGACATGTTTTCCAACATAAACCAAAAAATTTAAATAAGATTAGTCTTAAAAATTTCATGTTAAATAAAACACCTTTATAAGAAAAAAAGACAATTATTTTATTTTATACAGCACTGTTTTAGATGTTTAATTATTTCAAGTCAATTAAGGATTTTTTTAACGATATTTTCTATAATGTGGATTTTTTTTCCGTCCATTTGTATGGGTACATTGTGATAATGAATGGTTGGCTGGTTGTATTTTTATTTCTAACTAATGTACAGATAAGCTGTTTGTTATGTCACATACTGCCAAATACAATTTTTATTATATTACTAAAAAGAATAATTATTTGTCCTTTTCTCCTATAACTTCTACTTTTTTAACCAATAAGTATTTGTATGTAAAATGGAATAATGAGTAAGTATTTGTTTGTAAGTGTTTTTTAAAAATTCTCTTGAAAGGTCAAAAAATATTTTTATTGCTAAATTCCTTTAAACATTTCATATCATTTATATTTTATCAAACGATTTAATTTATTATAAATTCAATAGAGTAATATTTTTACAAAATATTTGTGCTAAAGAGTAGTGATAAGTAGGTGAGTTGTCGAGTAATATTAAATCTTCGGCAACTACCTAACTTTTGTTTTTACATAAAGCTTGAAAGTACTCTGTATGAATGTATTTATCAGCGTAAATGATGGGAAGACATTGAGGTTATGAACAACTTGCCAGATTCCAAACTGTAGTTTTGTAAATAAATAGTAGTAGTAAATGTAAGATTGAAGTAGTGCCATAAGCCATGTATGGTAGTGTGGCTGAGTTAGAAAGAGTATAAATAAAATCTAACTTAAATAAGGAAAGTAATAAATACAAAAACGCGAGATGAAAATTATGTGAGGAGCTGGCAATGACCTTAGCAGTTAGCCAGCAAAAAATAAATAAAACAAACAAAAATAACAACAAAGAAGGAAACAATATCTTGATATACATTTATGTTTCTTAATTAGATTATTTAATTAATAATATTTTTAGACCAAAACTATGAAAAACACATTTTTTACTTATAAAAGTTCCAATTTTTATGGCGTCTTATTCAGTATATGTTAATATTCTTTTGTTAGTCGTAAAAGATTAACAAATTAAATAAGAAAAATAGAAAATACGACAATAATTTTGGTTTGTTAACAAAATTTTCGTTTAACGGACGTTTGAAAGTGGCAGACATAAATTGAACAATTTTTTTTTCGATTTTACTACGTATCGTCAAATCAATTATGTCTAAAACTATTGCTGTCATGAACTTTCAAATTTAAATAAAATTAACAGATTTTCTAGAAAAATTGCGCCATTTCCTTGTGAAGGCAGTGTTTTCGAGCACGGTTTTAAAGTTGTTCAAATGTTTAAAGAATTGAAGTTTTATCTTCAAAGGAAGAACTCTCAAAACACAAGAATACACAATAGATTAATTTTTAATTGTCTTTGGTTGAGATAAAAAAGTCAGTATCATGAGCGGGATTCGAACACACGACCTTCGGCTAAATACGCCGCTGCTCTACTACTTGAGCTATCGTGGCTTAGATGTAATACACAATAGGTTTATCCCAACATAATTATCCCAAACGAAATGTTGAAATACGGAAATTTTCGATGGATTCGATGTATTGTTACTTCATAAAAACATTCGCATTTAGCCTTCTCGATCGTGGGTTATTGACTTTATAGTAAAAATACTGTCTACAAACCGATACAAGCGTTGAAAATTTTCCAATAGGGTGGTTGGCTGATAGACCGGCAATTTAAATTATTTGGACAACAAATTGACTGGAAAGAATTTTAAACCGCAGGTTTTTAACAACTAATCGTTAGAACGGCTATGTCGAAAAAGCCGAAAGATGCCGAGAAGTAATAGGTAAAAACAGATTATTTTGTAAATTAAAGAAGAAAAGGAATACAAAAATTGAGGAGAATGCATTGCAATACTGAAGATCGAGTACGTTCTAAAAGAGATGTTTTTTGAGGAACCATGCTTGTAATAGAAAAACTTACATTCATAACTTTGTTATAATTTAATAATTATGTGTATACTGTCCGGAAGGGTGTTATAAATTTGGTCTCATTCAATTTGTGTAAGTAGTAAAAATTATGAAATTAATCGAAGGTTTGTCGATTAGATCGCACAAAAGAACAAGAAACCCTGGATTTTTGATTTACAAAAATGTACAGTGTAAAAATAATACATTACATATCTATATATGTACATATGACAAACCATGTGTTTTTGAGTATAAACTTATATAATTTTTTTTTATTAGTGTGTGGTGATTAGTGACCGCTAATCGATTTTTATTTAGAAATCGTGTGATGCGGTCTGGTGTGATGTAGGTTTCAGAAAAACATTTTCTTTATCGTGCCAACGTTTCGATCTTTATTGAGATCATCTTCAGGGCCTGGGATTTACATTTTTTATTAGATACATGTTTGTAACTTCCACTTCGAAACATACCTTTAAGGAAAAGCATGATACCATATGATCAGAGCAATCTGCATTTCTGTCAATAATATAACAAATCTTTACTATTTTTTAAATTCGATCTGAAAGGCATTTTTATTTACAAATTAAAATAATTAAGGATTTGATGGTACGAAATAGCAATGAATAAAGAACCATGAAAATAAATATATTCAGGGCTATTTTGTTGAACTGTATTTTCTAGTGACATAACATTGTAATAATAATACCGTCTAAGAATAGGCCATCCGGGGTGAACACACGAACACTTAACGTTGGGGACAAAAATATAGCCCCCTTAGTATTTTGTCTGTACGTTACAATTGTATGTCTTCGTTAAATTTTTTTTTTACATAAATGAATTTTTCAGCTAAATTTTAATTGAATCATGTTCCTTGCTACTTTCGATGTAAAGTTTGTAATGGGTTGTGCCAGTTGTTTGACTTTTTCTGAACCAATGTAGATTATCGATTTTGGAAATATCAGGAAACAGGGCGGGGTAGGAAAGTCACATCTACCCTTTGAAATAATCAAAAAGACTACAGAAAGAAGAAAATACCAGGTAAGTTATCTGTCTTAACTAGCCGGGGAAAAAGAGCGATTTTGAGGGTCACTTCAAATTCCTGTTTGACAGCTTGCCCAAATCGCTCAGAGAGCTGGACTGTCAACCAGCATAAAAAACATAAAGAGGGTCATAAACATCTACGCACATTCAGAGGAGTGAAATAAAGTTCATACAGAACGCCATGAACAGTTCGGCCGTGACCATATCTAACTAGAAGGAGGAATAGAGAAAGTTCTTATTTTCAGATCTAAAAAAAATCTGTTTTAGAAGTATCGACTACTTTTTCACTCACGAACACTTTTGATCGAGACTATTTTCAAGTCATCATCAGGGCAAAACAATCTTAAATATGTCTACAGATTGGCATATTTAAGATGGAAGATTTTTGCAAGCGATCTCAAATTCTTTAAAGACCGACTCAGTCCTATCGTTGCCAAAACTAACAGTATTTCTCCGTATCTCTTAAGATTATTTACCCTGATGATAACCTTAAAATAGGTCGAAAGATTGGCAGTAACAACAGAATTTGCTTTTTTCTTCAAGACCATATCTTGATCCAGAGTGTTCCTTAGTAAAAAAAAAAAAAACTTAAAAACAACTAACATCACCGGTTGTTTATATTTATTAGGGTATAGTTTCACGACGAACCGAAATAAGAAATGGTATTTTTGAAAATGTTAGTAGGAGGAGGGAGTGTGACGGTATTGGACATAGACTACAATAAGAAAACAAATTGTTTTTGTTGTTGTTTGTTTCTAGTTGAATTACTATTAATAAATAGAATTAATAAAAATCAATTAACAAGTACTCAGAGACAATACCGAGTGATTAATTTGTATTCCAGTAGGACAATGCTCACGTCCATACAGCAAAAAGCCTTATTTTCAAAGAAAAAATATAAAGTTTTGGAATGGCCTGGATTGTCTGGGGACTTGTCTGGGCTGGATTCTGGAGAATAGTACAGATTTTATTATATCCTTGTGTTTTGGGTGTTTGTGTGCGTGTGTTTGTTTTGTTTCTCTTTCTCTCACTCTCTCTCTCTCTCTCTCTCTCTCTCTCTCTCTCTCTCTCTCTCTCTCCCTATATATATATCTTCTTTCTCACTCTCTCTTTATCTCTTTCTTGATCTCTCTCCCTCCTCTCTCTCGCTGAAATGAACGTTTTACAGTTAACTTTCTAAAATATTAATAATTTACTAGGATATTTATTCAACTCTGAGATACTATTTTTTTTCACTTTGTTATCAGGCCAGTTTGAGTTGTTGAAGGTAAGACAAGCGACTGAGTTTTCAAATTTTGTTTGCCCCCGAGTTATCTAAGAATAAGTGTCATCGGTTTGTGGTTTCTCATTACAGGCGTCAGGATGATCAGGATATATCTGTTACTATATCTAGATTAGTATAACTCAGACATTCAAACGATACATAGCGGTAGTTAGTAATTAAAACAGTAAAGATTTGTACTAATTATAGCTCTATGTTTACAACTTTATGCGTAAATCAAACTATTTTAAAAAAAGGATACGACCATTTTCTCGTAGGAAATGTCACTTAAATAAATAGAGAATTTAAAGTGCCAGAGAGGTATTTTTAAAGTCAAAATAAAATTGAAATATTACAGCTGTCTTGGATAACTAGGATTGAAACTTTTTTTTTTTTGTTAAATGTAAGTTTTTAAATTTTAAAGCAAAATGTTGCTTCGTACATA